CCCAGGGCCCTTACTTTATTTAAAACATGATCAGCGTCCACTGCATTGACGACATCCTGATAAAAAAATAAAAATGAAGTAAGAAAACCAAAAAAGATATTGCATTGTATGTATGACAGGTTGTAAATAGTGGTGGTTGAGTGCAGGTGCAACAGTTACGGCCTTATGGGTGAAACTGAGAGGGGTGAGATTAGTGAGCTAAGGCTACGCTACACACAAAATCATGGAGCACCAGACTTGTACAAAGAAAAAAGAAAGGCACCACCCCACTGTGAAGAAGCATGGCAATAATGATATTGGATACACTCCTTTTATAAACTTGAAATGTGTAGCTGATCTAAACTTGAGACGACCCTGCTCTGCTCACCATAACTAAGACTCAATAAAGGCAATTCCCAACCTGATACTACATCTATCCGGGGAAAAAAAACTTCTACATCTACTATCTATTAACAAGAGTTGACTGATCCTAGTTCAGAGTTTAGCTAGTTGAAAAATGAGTTTTAGTTGATACGGCAATTAGGAGGCGTGCAAATATCTTGCGTTCAAGAGATTAAATAGAAGGTCAGAAGGTGAAGGAGGTGGACAATATTGGCATCAAGCTCTGGTACATTGATAAGAGCCTCAAGAATGGTGTGGTGGATGTAAGAAGGGAAGGGGATAGGTCCATCTTAGTTAAGCTTGGCTTTCGTGATATGGTCTTAAACGTAATTAGTGCGTATGTCCCCCAATTGGATGACTCGTTTGATGACACTAATACGCACTTTGTGCGGACGACCCAAGAATCTGATATCAAAGAGACAATGAAAAGGATGGAGGGGGGGTTAAGGCGATAGGCCCTGATTGTATTTCAATCGAGGTGTGGAGATGTCCCAGGGATATAGTTATAGTATGGCTGACAGATAAGGACATCGTTACCATGGATACAGCCAAAACTATTGCTATTTCCTCTATATTTGATCAAGAAATGATGCCAATGCAAAGGAAGATGATTAGGTGTGACGATGCGGGAAGCGACCACAAAGGTCTAGTCCCTGCAAGCAATCAAAGAACAAACAAAAACTATGATAATAAGCAATCTGAATATTGCGATTATATAGATGAAGTACGGATATAGGTGGGGGTTCCATAAGTGGTCTTGGTGTCCTCATTGGACACAAACAAAGTACACGAAGTTGCAGCAATGCCTAACTTTTAACTAAACAGAACCCAAAGAAAAGCTACAAGATTGATATACTTATGTAGGACAAAGGGGTGGCAGTCAAGGGGAAGGACGAACGTCCCAAGGCAGCCAAAACCCAACCCTAAGTCGTACAAGGCCCATGGGCCCAAGTGCAGGCAACACAGCACCTTTTAACTTGGATTTTGACTCGGATTCAACAACAACGTCGCACAGTTTTTTTACGATAACGAATTTGAAGGTGGATCCAATTGGGTTTGGAAGTCCACAAGATAAGCTTTCCAACAAAAAAAAGTTCACCCAGTTCGGAGTCCGGATGTGGAAGTTATAGACATCACGGAGTTATAGATTGCGCTGGCAGATCCATCAAACTAACCACCCCAGAAGGAGCAAGGATCAGGTTTGCATCAGACCGCAAACTAAAAAGACGACATGCCTATGTTGCATTGAATTTGTGGTCATACAAGAATGGAATGAGTTCGGACGATGATATACATGATCGGCTAGGCATAGCATCAATCGAAGAAAAGCAACGGCTGAGATGGTTAGGCCATGTCCGAAGGGGGCCCCTGGGGGCACTAGTGCATAGTGGAATCCTAAGCCACGATAATAATGCGAGAGGAAGGAGAAGGACAAAATTGGCATGGGAGGAGGCAACAGAAAGAGACTTGAAAGAATGGGATATAACCAAAGATTTGGATTTTTTTTGAAACTATGATGATTTTTATAGCAAATTCGGAAACTATACACCCTAATGGAGAAAAATCAAAAGTATCACCCCGTCGGCCTCCTCTTGGCCGAAAAGGGACTTTTCGGCCTCCTGTTGGCCGAAGAGGGACTTTTCGGCCAACCGTTGGCCAAAAAGTACTTTTCGGCCAACAGTTGGCCAAAGAGTCCCTCTTCGGCCAACACCTGCTCTGCTGTTTAAAAAAAATTTCATATCAAATAGGATTTTTAGTATTTTAATTTGATTCTTTTTGCATTAGATTTGAAATTTTATGAAGTTTCTGTAGATATCAAGTTTGACTAGATTTGAAAGTTTGAATTTAATTTTTTCATGAATTTGCTCAAATAACTAGATTGCCTATAATTTGAGTTAGGAGTATTTTTTAAGATGATTCTTTTTGCTAATGGTTCTTTGTGAATTTGTTTATCAGTAGTAATTAATTGGCGAATTTTATAATTATTTAAAATTAGGTTTTTATGAAAACAGTTCTGTTGTAGTGTTTGTTAGGTTTTATGCTATTTCTTTTAATTTTAATTGCTTTAAATATTTTTTCTTTAGTTTTTTGACATATTCTTTTTGTTTCTGTTTAGGTATCAGTAGCTATTTTATCTGTAGTATTTTTTGTATTTTATTTCTTTTATCCTACTAGAAATCTTGTTTTGAGCTTCATAGGAGTTTATATTTAAAAGTGCCTTGTAAATCCTGTACAACCATTGCCGTTTTATACATGAAAAAAATACTTTCCCGCAATCTTTTTCCCTCCATTTTCTTTGCCGCCATTTTATTTCCCGCCATTCTCTCCCGCCACACTAAGGAGTGCTGCATCGGCGGAGGATGACGATGATGCCTTCATGTGGAGTGTGAAACACTGTGTGAGAGAAGTCATAAGTGTGAAACACTCTCCGATGATGATGACGAAGCTGCAAACACTTATGACTTCTACGATCGTGGACACCATGAGGCTCGTTTTATAAGTTGAGAAGTGAAGATGGCGAGAAAGAAGATGGCGGGAGAGAATGGCGGGAAAGAAAATGGAGGGAGAGAATGGCGGGAAATAAAATAGCGGGAGAAAATGGAGGTTGAGAATGACGTAAAAACCTAATTTTAAATAATCCTAAAATTCACTAATTAATTACTACTGATAAACAAAGTCACAAAGAACCAGTAGCAAAAAGAATCATCTAAAAAGAATACTCCTAGCTCAAATTATAGGCAATCTAGTCAAACTTCCAAATTCAAACTAAAATTGAATCTAGTCAAACTTAATATCTACAGAAACTTCATAAAATTTCTAATCTAATGCAAAAAGAATCAAATTAAAATACTAAAAATCCTATTTGATATGAATTTTCTAAAAAGTAGAGCAGGTGTTGGCCGAAGAGGGACTCTTTGGCCAACTGTTGGCCGAAAAGTACTTTTTGGCCAACCGTTGGCCGAAAAGTCCTTTTTGGCCAACTGTTGGCCGAAAAGTCCCTCTTCGGCCAACAGGAGGCCGAAAAGTCCCTTTTCGGCCAACAAGAGGCCGACGGGGTGATACTTTTGATTTTTCTCCATTAGGGTGTATAGTTTCCGAATTTGCTATAAAAATCATCATAGTTTCAAAAAAAATCCAAAGATTTGTGCTTGAATAGGACTGCTTGGAAAACCTATTCATGTACCTGAACCTTGATTAGTGGCTCCTGTTGAGTTTGAAGTTTTTAACTCTAGCCTTCCCCAACCTGATTGGGACTGAAAGACTTTGCTGTTGTTGTGTCTCAAGAAAGCATATCACAAAATCATACATAGTACTAAATTATACAGAAACCTATGTGACTGGGAAATGCAAATGACTAAACTTGCTTTATGGCAGACCACAATTTTTAGGTCGCCTTGTATATTGTGCAGTATTAAATGACACATTTATTTTGAATGGCTAAATGACACATTTGTATTGCTATTGATTTGGAATGTGAAACATAATTGATGAAGTAAAAGAACACTGCCAAGTGTAGGTTTTAGTTTTGCGCAATTGGCACTTTCAGCGGAACATTCTTGACTCAAACACTTTGTGACTGCACAAGAAAAATATGAAGGATAACTAAGTAGATACAATTTAGTAAGTAACAGGCAATGAAAATGTTCAGGGTTCAACCAACTGGAAAGAATACTGTTGAGTATACCTGCATTAGCAGGTACTGTTGGAATGCCTGCAAGAGTTTAGATATTGGTATTAGAAAGGAAAAGGCAAGCACCACTTATTCATTAGCGAAGAGTACCCTGCAGGTGTCTAGGAAACTGCAGGGCACAACAAGAGATAAAAGGTCCAGATTGTAAGTGGGAACAGATATTGTGACTACTGACTAAAGTACATAACTAATAAACAGAGACAGAGGTAAGTGGGAACAATGAAAGTAACTGGAATAAACTTCTATATGGAGCAAATGATGGTATGTTACCTTCACTGCAAGAATCTGAATGTTCTTTGACCTCCTGCTTCCCAGCTAGCAAAGTTTCATCTGAAATCACACAAGTTTGTGCGTCATGGCTTGCCAGATTTTGTTAGAAAGGAGAACTTTTGCAAAATATCTAGGTATATTAGGAAGTAGACTAACTTTTGCAAAATATATCATGCTTCTAGTTTTGAAACAATGATTGCACAGCATAAATCGACGTAAAACAAAGTGGCACGACTAATTCTTCCCGCAACATATTATAAGTTTATTACAAATGCTGTGTTTTAAGCAATGATAACAAATAAACCCAATACACTAAAGCAGTTCTTCTGATAGAAGAGCACAAGAAAGCAATATGCCATACTTATAACAAAATGAAGGCCATCACAAAATTCAAGCAATTCATACAGAACACCGGCTTATGCATGAACACAAAAAATGCGGGAAGGACAGAGTCAAGGCAGATATTTTTACCAATAATTTCCTCCAAATCCATAGGTTCACACGATAAGCCTGCAATTGAAACATATGATCATCAGTTAGCATGCTTAAACAGGAATAATCAGGTATCCTTATCGATCATACAATGGCTAAGTGAGAAACCTTGAGTGCATGGTGAGGAAGGACGCCTGCATGAAGCAAAAGGTTGAAATCTCTAATTTTACAAACTAGGAAACAGTGGAACAACGAGAGCATCAATTCTGTGCATACGATATATATACCTCTCTTTCTGAAGAAAACGGCGGGCAAGAAGAGATGCCGACATGCGGCCTATGTTCTTCTTCCTCTTATGCCTCCGGCAACCCCTGAATAATCAACAAGATAATGCGACAAGCCCGTTACTAGTTTAACTGTAAGTGCGGCTTCTCATGAACACGAGTAAATTGGATCCTCTACATAATGGACTCATAGCTGGAGATGGAGATGGGGATGAGGATGTTGTACTTACCTAAACCCGAAGGGGATTGTGTGACATGGGTGGCTTGGACACCGTGGCAACCGCAGCAGATGCCTGAACTCAGTGGTTCGCGTGACCAAGTCCTTGACAACCTGTGCGGCTTTGAGCCTAATGAGCCGCCAGTCCACGGGATCCCTGCGTGGAAGAAACATCGAGAGGCTCAAACAACAATCAATGAAAATAATGGGTAATTAGATAGATGAAGGGACGATTAGGCGAGGGAGAGAAGAGACGAGACCAGTAAGCCGGGTGAGAGCCATTGTATAAGATTGCGCAGACAGCATCGGCGTAGTGCGGGTCGGCCTCGATCATGCTGGAAGGGTAAGACTCGAGTTGGGTCCGGAGATCGTCGGCAGCATCGATGCACCCCAGCTTCCCCTGGGCCATGTCGTCGAGAACGCCGAGGCGAGTGATGAATCTGAGCGCGGTGTGCGCGTCGACCTCATCCCGGCACGGCAGGAAGCGGCTGAAGTACTCTCGCGCCTCCTGCCACCGGCCGTCCGCCACCAGGCGCCGCAGGAACCGCAGATCGAGAAAGACGCGCGTCTCGTGCTTCAGCCTGGATAGAAATTAAGGTCTATCGATCAGTGCCAGCTAGGAAGGTGGATCTTGGAGATAGAGCAAGAGATAAAGAAACGAATACGTACGCGTCGAAGGTGGCGGGAAGGTTGTTGCGGCGGAGAAAGGCGAGGAGTCGCCGGCGGCGGAATCGGTCCAGGCAGTGGTGCTCCATCACGCCTCGCTTGCCGCCAGATCTCGCCATCGCGCTCTGGGACGAGAGTAATTGGGGGATATCGCCGGAACGGGTGGCACTGCGTCTCGGATATCATAGTTGGATCCGATTA